GGGGGGGGGGGGAGATCTGCAAAGAACATGTGGAGAAAAGCAGATTGCGCATTAAGAAACACCTACCTTGCCACTGCCAGAGACTACAGCTGTACAGGTGGCAAGTAAAAGAGACTAACTGCAGGTCATTTTCTGTCTTTCTAGGAATCGTCGCCTCTGCTGCAGACAGGTAAACTAATCTGCTTTGTGCTGCAGTGAGGGACTTCAGTGACTGCCCACATGCCACCTTTGGATTTTCCAGAGAAGTAATGCCTAACCATGGCCTAAGAATTTGCCTAGTCCCATTCAAACTGCTCTGTGTAGACAATCCTATTTTCAGTTGTTGAGAACTTGGTTAAGATCCCTGAAAATACAGACATGGCCATAGACATTCAATAAAGGTAGTAGTGATATGAAGGGAAAGTCCCATTACCAGAACTTGGGTGGGAATGGGAAACAATAACTCACTTCTTTTACATGTCCCCTTCTTTGCGATCCCATCCTTTCATTCTGTGAACAACCTTAGATAAACTGTTTCTAGACTAGAAGAACTTGGTTTTTGTAGGGTATACCCCAAGGACTCCAGCTGACACATTATTATGCACCCCTTAGCAGTTTTGATAACACAGTCACATTTATTTTCTTGTATTTTCAACAATACAATGTTGTGATGTCTGGCTAAGGCATATATTTTATTATATTATACAGATGGTAAAACTTAGGCATGATAAATGTTTTATTCAAGGTTGCAAAACTTAAAAAGGCAAACCCCTCAGTCCTATTATGGTTCTCACTTTAACCTTTCCCACTATGCCACTTTCCAATACTGTTTGGAAAGTGTGACAAAAACACCTCCAATCTAAGCCTAAGACTATGAAGATGCTTATAAGAACATACCTAAACACAAACTGCCTGCACTCACTTTCGGTCCTTTCTACCACTCATCTGAAAAGTTTTCCTCTGCAGCAAGACATCAACACAGTACATTTTCTGCCAGGAGTGATGTGATTTTGTGAACCACTTTTCTTTATTTGGGGTACATATTCGTAAGCTGGAAGGTGAATCAGTTGTCCAGCACTAATTCTTAGTCCTTCTGGTAAGGTTTCAGCATTGTTATTGGCCACTGGACATATTAGTATGGTAATTTGTCTCACAATTAATGAACCAATATTGATGATAAAGGATGATGATGATGAACATGATGATAATTATTAACCAGACTCCATTTATTGAGAGGGAGTGGTAAGGTTCTAGAAGAACAAGTGGGTTGAAAGATCACTGCGACCATCTTTGGAAAATAACAGTGTGTCAGTGTGAGGTATGAGCAGACACCAATCTTATGCTTTTCCCTATTTCCCCTTTAAAACTGCTCTGTGAACTCATTCTTCCCTGGGTCTTGAATAAAATTTCATTCCAACCCCATACTGTTGTGGACTGTATTTATCTTTATTTGGTGCCTCTCTCTGCAGGAGGATTGATTATACATTCCTATCCTGATGAAATCAGGTGTAGCCTCAGGTGTATGACAGAAGCAGAAGTGATACGAGTCATTTCAGGACAGAACCTTGAACAGCCAGCATGGGGTTCACCATGTTTCCCTTTCCCTTCATCATGATAATAAGTAATATTCCAGAGAGTAGCTACTCCCTACTCCCTCAGTTTGGGGCCCAGAGTGAACCACAGCCACAGTCAGGCTGCAGTAGATGTGCTCCAGCACACTGCTTAGGATGTAAGGGGTACATGGCATGCATTACATAGTTGAGCCTCTCTAAAACTAAGAATTCCTGTGGACTTGACTAACGCTCCAAAACAGAAAGCCCTGTTTTAACATCTCATTTCTACTGTTCTCTTAGTTGTCATTCTCGGGGTTTATGTGTATGGGAATATTTTACAAAATTTCGACGTGGGTTGTTTTGAAAATGTTAATGTATTGAAAGTATTTGTATAAATTCAGGACCACATAACATGGCATTCCGTAAATCACTGCGTTTGTGTTGCTTTTCTGGCAAGTAGAAATGCCCTATTTTAAAGAGGTGTTAAGAAAATATAGACTATGTATAGAATATATAAATTCACACATTTTAGGGCACTATATTTGGCTGCTTTAATACAGATACAACTATTTTAAAAGATATTTTTCATAGCTTCATTCTCTAACCTCCAAAAGCTAAGGGATGCACGTATAACCAACATGTCAAATAGATGACAGAATTATGGCTCAGTCTCATCTCAGTCCTTCCACCTTCTGCCCTACCTGGCATAAGTGTATGTCCACTACCCTTATTGATGGATAGTGTCTAATTGCTTTTTCCACATCCTTCTCTGTAACAGCAGGATAAAACGAAGGGTAAGGAAGTGTTGTATCTTACCTAAAGTCACTAAGTATCTTTGGATATGAAACCAGAACATATGAGTTTCTGCTTAAGCTAAATGCTTCATCCCTCCCTTTCCTCCTCATTATTTTCATTAAAAAATTATTCTACACAACAAAGAACTACAGTTTCTTTTAAAATATCTTTTTCATAGCTTCATTCTATAACTCCCCCAAACTAAGGGATGCATGTCATAGTTTCTTTCTCCATTACGGGTGCCTTCTTGGTAGAAAATAGTATCCTATGGATGTGTTGATGAGCAGCAGATAAAACCACATAACGAGCATTTCTATGCTGCTCACAGGCAGCGATGCTATCAGTATGCCCCTTCTGTGAGAGTAATGGGATAATGGAATGCTCCATTTTGAGAATGAAGGTGTGGTGGTGGCAGTAGGTATTGATCAGGGAAAGCAATGAAGAAAATGATCTACATGACTCTGCAATCACCATCCCTTTATTATCATCAACAAGCATAGAATACTGGCCTTATTCTTTGTTCATAATGTTCTCTAAAAGGCATATGGGCTGCATATACTTCCCCCTTCAGACTGTTAACGTGATGAATGCAAGAGGCACAGCTGCCTTTTATATCCCTTTTATAAACCAAAACCAGTTCCTGTTTATTTTTTTTATTTTTAGAGAGAGAGGAAGGAAGAGAGAGAAACATCAATGCGAGAGAGGCACATCGAGTGGTTGCCTACTGCAAGCGCCCCGACCAGGGCCAGGGATGGAACTTGCAACTGAGGTACATGCCCTTGGTTAAAATTGAACCCAGGACCCTTCAGTCTGCAGGTCAATGCTCTTAACTACAGAGTCAAACCGGCTAGAGCATTCCTGGTTTATTTTAAATGATCATTAAATATTGTTTGAATAACAGACTGAAAGAATTAATACCATACATAGACCCAGTCTTTTAACTTTTTTCCAGAGAATTCTTTAGATGCAAGTAGGCTCCTATCCAGTCATTGAATTCAGCTGAATCTCCAGAATCTCCAGGTGTAGTAGGGTCTTCTTTCTTAGGTCTAGAAGTGGTTCTTTATGGTCTAGTGGCCTACGAACTAAGAGACAAAGATCTGCTTTCCACTCTCATAAAATAAACAACAGTGGAGAAGGGACACAATCATCATAATAAATATTCCAATTTAGAAAGGAATGGAAGATACACAATAGTCACTGGGCCACAGCAATGCTGGGCGCCTGCTAGACAAGCATCCTGAAGGGTTCCTTAGCCCTTGATTCAGCCTTAATTCTGCTCTCTGGAAGAATATCCCCTGAACATTGTCCTCTGAGGTCTGTCTCCATCATTTAGATTTTTATTCCACTTATTTTGCCTACTTGTGAAAAGGGATATTTAGCTTTTAATAAACTTCGTTACTTCTAATAGTATCCTATCATTTTTTGTGTTTTTTTGTTTGCATTTTTTATATAAACTTTACTGAGGAATAGTATTCATATAATAAGGGCATATATTTTTAATTGTACAGTCCAATGAGCTTTGACAAGTATATACACCACTACCTTAAGACAATGGGATATGTCTATTATCCAATATAGTTCCCTTGTGCTGCTTTACAGTCAGTCTTCCCCCCTCTGTCACCACCCTATCCCAGTCCCCAAGCACTACTGATATGCTGTCTATAGGTAAGTTTTGCTTGTTCTAGAATTTCATCAAATATTCAGCAAGCGTTCAAATTTCCAATTGTCCTTAAACGTCACAATATTCAAATTTTTTCACTCAAGATTCAAATAAGAATCACATATTCAAAAGGATTGGTATATCCTTTAAAATTTTCTTCTAGTAACTTGTTGCAGAATCTGGGTCATTTTTCCTGTAGATTTTCTGACAACCTAGATCCTGCTGATTGCACTGAGTGTTAACATGTTCCTCTGGCCCTACTTACAGATGGTATTTTTTTAGAGACTTGATCTTATCCAGATTTGATGTTTTGGCCTCATGCATTTTTAACTGAGTTGAGGGATTACAGCTATTCAGGAACAACCTTCTTAAGTAACAAAGAACTGCGTAAGCAAAGCAGTGAGTTTTAACGGCTCACATAACTGAAATTTTCAGGGCATATCGTAGATTCAGGCCCTGTATCATAAGATCATTTATTGGTGTGTGGTGTTTTGTTGTTTTTTCTGTTTTTCTGCTTGGTTCTGGTCTCTTCTGAGCTTTGGCTTTATTCTCCACATCCTCTCAGGTTCAAGTCCATAGGAAATAAGTTGCTTCCCGAGGGTTCAGTTTCACGTCATGGGTACCCATGGGCCTGGTTTGGATCCTATGTCCTTCTGAACCAATTAAGGCACTAAGGAAACAGGATATTCTGATTGGCCAAATGAGCGTGCCAAGGTGGAGGTCATCTCACTAGAGCCACATGGGCTGTTGCTGAATTTAAAGAGACTTTTCATCCTCTGTAATCACACACTGGTTTACAGGTGTGAACTTATTTCACATATATATTGACAAGCGACTTTCTATATAACCTTTACATGCAACAACCTTTACTTATAAACAATACTGTCCCTGAAGCTGGAGTGATTACAAGTGTTTTGGGTAAAAAGTTGGAAGGAAGGCCCCTTAGAAATGTTCCCCAAATTCCTCTTTACTAGGTCAGCGACCACCTACTGTCCCGAGAGGTGAGAAATGGTAGAGCTAAGTTTTAACAAGGGAAAGAGGTGAGGGACTACGAAGAAGGGGTGTGAAAGCGGGCAGCTGATCGCTGGCCCAAAAAGAAAATGTTCACGGAAGGAGTGGGTAACAGTGAACGTCGGGCAACCCAGTGGAAGAGCTCGGAAGTGATACCTGGTTTACCTCACCCGGTTATTTTCAAGGCCAGCTGCAGAGTATTAGTGGAATCATAAAACGGTTCTTGGAGGTGACTTACCAGCATTAGGGCGGGGTGGGAGTTTCTTGAGAAAGGCCGGGACCCCCGGACCCCCGAGGAGGTCCAAGGGCCAGCCGAGCCGGATCTCCCCGCTCGCCGCGGGGAAGCGGCAGCCGCCCGCCGGGGAGGAGGCCCGCCGGCTGCAAGCAGAGCCACGCCCCTCCCGGCGGCCCGCCCTGCGCGCGTCACTTCCGGCCCTCGGCGAGGCGCATCCGGGTCAGCCTGAGCCTCTTGCTCTCGGAGTCTGTGACTGGTGGCGGTGCCGCGCCGTCCGCGCTCTCCCTTCCCGGTGTGGCCAAGCCGCAGTGTCGACCGGCGAGAAGTGACCCGCTGCCCCGAGCAGAGAAAGACGAGGAGGAGACGCGGGAGCGGCCGGGGGCCGGGCTGGGCCGCTGTGGTGCGGGCTGGAGACTTTGCTCCTACGCTTGCTGCTGTCTCTGGGAACCGGGTGCCAGCCCTGAGGAGGCTTCAGCGGACAGCGACCCCCTCCCCCGGCTCCCCTGCCCGCCCTGCCGGGGAGGGCGGAAGATGCCGGTGAAGAAGAAGAGAAAATCCTCTGGGGTGGCAGCGGCAGTAGCGGAAGACGGTGGCCTCAAAAAGTGTAAAATCTCCAGGTACCACCTTCCCCCACCCTTCAGTCTTTCCTCTGCTGGACGGCCAGAGGAGGCGGCGGCGGGCCGGGTCTCTGAGGCTCGAGCTGGGGAGAGGTGGACCTCCCCCACCCCCCGCCCCATAAACCTACGTGGTAGGCGCAGAACCCCGCGAGTCTCTGCGCCCGACTCCGCCTCGTGTTCGGTGCGTGTGCTCCCCGGCGCCTGTGGAGGGACTGGCCGAGTCGCCCCACGTTAGAGTCTACGTGCCCCGGAGGGTGGGGAAACAGGAATGCGTACGTAAAATGCGCTCTTTCCCCTACCCCTGCTCTCTTAACCCCTCCTCCGCCTGTTTCCCAAACAGATCCGTGGAAATGTTACTTCTAGAATTTCTTTGTAGAGTGAAGAAAGGAGCAGAACAGGAGAAATCTTGATCTGACAACTGCCATGGGGATGATAGAAAGGAAAGCTCCCCATGTTGTAACTGGCCTCCAGATTTAGTGGTCCAATCCGGAGCATCCCAGCAGGAGGCCTTTTAAATCGCAGGAGCCCCATTTTCCTGAAGTATAGTGCCTTCACCTGCGCCAAGTCCCTGTGTGCCGAATTGGGAAGGCCCTGCATGCATTTTGTCTTCCAGCATTCAGGATGCTGTTGCTCTCAATATAAATATTAATAATTGAGAGCTATTGTACTCTGTATCCCCTCGGAGAAAAAGAAAACAAAGCAGAGCTGTTGTTGTAGCTCTTTGACCCCATTGTAACATGTCATTGGGGCACCACAGCAACATTGTATGCTGCAAAAAATTACTGCAATTTAGGTATGAGAAGTGGGTTTTTTTTTTTTTTTTAAATCTCCTTATGGAGTGTCTTTGTATCTGTGGTTGGCACTTAGTGTGACAACTTCAGATGCTACCATTAAAAGAAGACTGTAACCAGCATTATAAAGGAGAGATAATGATAGGACTGTCCTTAGAGATACGCTTAATATGTGAGGTAGGTAACTTACTTAGTCTTCATCTTTCTTTTTGTAATTGGTTCAGTTTTTTTCTTTCATTAGGCTGTTTGGGAAAACACAGCCTAAGTATATTTCTTGGGTAATTACTGTGGAAGATGATGCCGTTTTCTTATACCTCTTGGTAACTCACACTAGAATTTGACATGGTTACTCCACTAGCTCAAATTTTTATGAAACATGGAGGTTAGTTTTATATTACTCTAACTTGTAGGTACCTTAAGTATATAATGTATCAAAATTATTTAAATTAAGCACTTAAAATAGCTGAGCAGTCATTATTAGAACTCAGGTGATACTTTGCTCTATCAACTTAAACTTTTAAATATGGTAGCCTTATTTTACATTACACAGTACTTTACTCAGTTGCAGAAGTTGTAGCACTTCTATATCGTTGTGGTAGTGTAACTGTTTGAACTCCTGGAGAAAAGGTTTTCTGAAGTTCATTATATCGTAAAGGCCCTTTATGAACTTCCCAACTTTAAATGACTTTATGGAAAAGAGAAACAGAATCGAATTAAATAACTTTGGCTTAATTATTTGTGCTAATGTTATCTTTTAGGGTTTGGGGGGTTTTTTTGTTCTTGTTTTTGAATCTGTGGAATTTAATTACACATTTAGATCCTGAATCATCTTTTATCTTTAAATATCTAAGTTTGGTAGATGATAAACAACTTTAAATAATATAGTTTTATTTTGAAATATTGATAAATTAACCATCAAAATATACTTTTAAGGTTTTGTTTTCAAATATGTATCTGTTATACACAAATATAATTTCCGTGAAATTCAGAAGAATCATTATGAAGATTTATACTTTCCCAACTACCAGTCCTGCATTGAGACCATTAGATTGAACTTCTGTGTGGTCTTTTGAGATCTGGGGAATTAATTTTTGTTGATATTTTTTGAATTTTATAGTGAGCAAAGTAGCATTTGGGTTTTGTTAGCCACAAATTTTTATGTGTAGACTACTGTATCAAATTGCAAATACTTAACAACTCCATTTCCCCCCCCCATAACACTAGCTGTAAAAAAAAAAAAAATACTTTGTTTAGTTTAAATTGATGTAGTTCATGTTGAACTCACTATAAGTTGAGACGATAAAATTCTTAGGCATTTGTGTGTTTTCTAAGCTATTGCAGATCCCAACCCCCTGCTAGACTAATAAGTGGAGAGGAACATTTTTCAAGCAAGAAGTGCCTGGCTTGGTTTTATGAGTATGCAGGTAATGAAATTAATATAAGAAGATATTAGTCACATGCTTTAAAACTTTTTTTTTTTTTTGGTTCATTCATTTAACAAACTATTTATTTCAGGCCTGCTGTGTGTTAGTGCTGTGTGCTGGGATCAGGGCCAACACTTAGGATTGTGGGTAGGCTAAGAATTTGGTTCTCTTTCAGGCTATGTCTTTAAATACATAATTCAGTATATATTTAGTGAGAGGGGGAAACTCACTTACTATTAATACAATCTGTAAACAGACAGTTTCACTTACTGGTTTACATCCATTCGCTAAAGTAGCATTGGTAGTCTGGAAAACACAAAGTATGTGATAAAACACTTTACACTATACATAGTTTTTATTTTTTCTTTTCATTTTCTTTTGGGAGTTTTTCTGAACCAGAAACTGACATTTTCTGAAACTTTTTGGGAAACAGAGTAAAAGATTAAAAACTCAGACCTATCATCGCACAACACACCCCTTAATAATTGCTATTTAGCCACTACTATGAGAGATGCAATAATGAATAAACAATAAGCAGAATGATATTAATAGAGTGTGATAAATGTTTTATTAGAAAGATGCACTGTGAAATTTTATAGGAGGAATATGTAACCCAGCCTTGAAAATATCAGGGAACGCTTCTTGAAGAAGCTAACTCAAACTAAATCCTGTAACTAACTAGTAGATGTAAAGCTTCTGGCCTAGGTTGGGGTGAAAGTCAAAGCCAGGGATGAAGCCAAATAGTTAAGTAAATATATGAAAAAGAACACTTGTTTTCCACTTATTAACTTCCTTATAAGCATATATGAAATTTTTTCCCCATTAGAATGCTTTTTGTCTTTCCAAATTACTGATTTTAAAGCTCTTTTTCCCCCTTTTTTCTTTCTCTTACCTGCCTCCCTGTCCCCCCCCTTTTATCATTATCATTCCCAGAGTGTTTGTTTAAAATAGAACAGTGTATATGCAGTCATTGTATTATATGTAGTGTAATCAATTTAAGGCTTCAAGTGTACTCTGAACTTGAGATACAAGTTTAGACTAACTGTAAGACTGCGAGTGTGGGGGACAGTAACTTTGCTGTTGGGATCAGCTGAGTGATCCCAAAAGTATAATTTAAAAATTGTTTAGTAGCAGAACAGATTCTTTCTAGACCAGAAAAACTGCTATTACTGGCATCCCAAGACAACCACTAACCCAAATTAAATGAAGGGAATTCATTTTATTACTGACCTCCATTTAAAATGTTGACCCATTATTCAAAATGCCAGTTTTATTGTTACGCAAGATATAGAATCAAAAGGCCAGTCATCTTATTTTACTTATGAAGGTTACTAGATATTATAAAATTAATTCGGGTGTGTGTTTTTTTCATGCTTGTTTGTTTTACCTCTCGTAAGGCCTTTCCTGGGTAGCATAAGATTCTAGTTAGTATTTATTTCCTATACTAGCATTTTTGTAATAGCCAGCATAATAATTGCTATCTTTATTTCAGAAATTATGCTGATTATGTAACTTTTCCTAATGACCATTCAGTTAAGTAGGCAGTGTTAATCCATGTTTTATAGATGAGAAAACTGATGCTTAGATTAAGTAATTTGCTTAACATCGTGCTATGACAAGAGCCAAGATTCAAAACTAGGTTATTCTCATTGTGGATCCTATGCTTTTAACTACCACTGTCTGGTAATGTTTATTTTTTAAAAAAACATGTATATGGCAACTTATTTTCCTTTGGCAAAGAAAATATTAGTAAGTACACTGGAGTTAACTGATCTTCTGTCATTCGTGGAATGAGTCATTCAATAAATATTGAGCACTCATGTATCAGGGCACTCTGCTAAGTGCTGAGAGTATAGTAGTGAACAGTTAAGATAGACCTTTGCCCTTCAGGCACTTGCCTTCTAGTGGGAAGACATATACAGTAAATAGGTAAGTAAGAAAGATAATTAATAATTACAGATTTTGGAGGGTTATAACGGTAGTAACTATGGTGAGGTTCAGGGATAGAAAGGAGAAAGTTTGGATGGATTGTCAAATAGAGTGATTAGGAAAGACTTCTCTAGAGGTTATGATTGGCAGAAAACTAAATGACAAGGAGGAACAAGTTACTGTATTTGCTAAATAGTTACTGTTCCATCTTAAAATGGGGGTGCCCCTCATTAAAATGGAGACAATAATTGTGCCTACTGAGATAACACATGTAAAGCATTTAGCACAGTACCTGGTATATAATCAAAACTCAATACATGTTAGCAATTATTAAAAGAGTAATAGTATTCCAGCACCAGATTTACTGGTTGTATATGTTTGCCAGTACTGTTCCAGAATTACCAATATTGCTCATATGTAGCTCATGTTGAAGATGCTGAATCATTCATTTAGCATAGTTTTTTTCCCCTGATCATTTGCTATGGCTGACATGGTTTTAGGCTCTACAGACATAGCCAGGAACATATCTTTATAGTTATTTAAAAAAAAAAAAGGTTTTCTGAAAACTGATTTTTTTTTTAGTTTTAAAATATTTTACCACTAATCTTGTTAATATAATATTAATACATCATATGTGATAAGCCTGATGGTTTTGCCCTTTCACAGGACCTCTCATCTTGACTGATAATTAAATTAGCAAGGATTCAGTATATACTGGGCCTATTACTAAACAAAACACATGGAAAGTGAAAAGGCACTTTTAAAGTCTTATAAAGAATCAAAAATAGGGATAGAATTGCACAGCCCTAACAAAGTATCAAGCTGGTTGAGTGAACTAAATCATTTCCATAGCTTTTTAAGTTGATTGGAAACCTGGTTTTTGTCTGAAAGTTAGTTAAATTTGGCTCCCTGGGAGTAGTTTTATTGGAAGAGTATGTTTTAAGAAGAATAATTAACAGTATGCAATCTGGGAAAAGGACATTGGTATAGACCTTGTTTTAGATTTAGATCTATTACTATTTGCATTACTTTGGGAAAGTCACTTAACATTTACAGAAAGGTCTTATATGTATCTTAATATCTTAGTATAACAGTTTAACTTGAGTCTAATCTAATTTTAATCACTGATATCACAGTTTCTAGGGAGGCTATATTTTATAACAGTAGCTGATATTTCTTGACAAAGGCCTCAGCTTTCTCTTCTAGTTACTAATGGTGGCAGCTTCAGGAGCAAGTCAGCTTTTTTGTTGCATAGAAAAATTTAGAATATATTCCTATCATGCCTTAAAAAAAACCTTTGTTTTCTTCTCAATTTTTTATCTAATGTTTACTTTCATCCAAACCATATATAAGAATGCATATTCAGATATATTTTTAACAGCTTTATTGTATATGTGTGCTTTTTAAATTACCTAACACATCTAGTTAAAAAATCCTTCAGGTTTATATTAGGAAGTGAAAGTTTCCGGTAATTGTCACCCTCTTCACCTTTCAGCACCTCACTGCATAAATAAGTGCAGTATATATTTAAACCAAAAAAACTGAAAAGGGCTCTAGTTCAGACCACATCATCTTAGCAGCCTGGATCCCATCTGAAACAGTAAGAGTACATTGGCCATGTACTGGATGACTGCGTTCGTCTGTTAAGACAAACCTAAGGACGTTAGCTTCATGTTGCGTTTGTGAACTAATGATGGTGATATAAAGTGCCACCTGAGCTGCCTTGGTTTAGTTTATGATTAGTAAAGTGGAGTATTTTTAGTCCTTAAGAAAGGAAAACAAGTTTCGTTTGGCTAATTTAATATTTCAGGACTATATTTTCAAAAGCCAAGTGAAAATATTTCTATCATATTTCATATTGTTTTAGTCTTTTAAAATTGAGACATATCATTATATTAGTTTCAGGTGTAGAGCATAGTGATTATTCGTTATATGTATATATTACAAAATGACCACCAAAATAAGTCTAGTTAACATCTATCACCACATAGTTACAAAAAAATTTTTTTTGTGGTGAGGACTTTTAATATCTACACTTTTAGTCACTTTCAAGTATATAATACAGTATTATTAACTATAGTCACTATGCTATATTACATCCCAGGACTTATTTTATAACTGGAAGTTTGTGCTTTTGACCATCTTTACCCATTTTGCCTACTCTGTACTCCCACCTTTGGCAACCACCGATCTGTTCTCTATATTTATGAGTTTGGTTCTTGAGGTTGACTTTTTGTTTGTTTGTTTTTTAATGTATAGTCCACATATAAGTTAATCAATCATACAGTATTTGTCTTTTTCTGTCTGACTGACTTCACTTAGCATAGTGCCCTCACAGTCTACCCATGTCACAAATTTGTTTTAATCTTATCCAGTCCCAAAAATACCTAACAATGATGTAATTATTATATTTTGTGATAACATAAAAAAAAGGGGGAATTGGTGTATTGACTTATATTTACCTTTACTAAGGGAGAAAAATAGGAAACAAGTATTGTTAATTTTTGGACAAATGATAGACAAGCTAATTGAAGGATTAAACTTTTGTTTCTACATATAGTGACATAACTCATGCTTTGCTGTTTATTTGAGAACCAAAATAATAAAGAAAATATCACTCTGGAATTGGAATGTAGTAATATCCTTAAGTTATTATTTTTATAATATGTGTATCTTTTTATTAAAGTTTTAAATTTTATTTGGGTATATTTCAGAAGTGTAATGAATGACCTTCTGTTTTAGTAACTAAACAGGTATTCTCCTCTGATTATTGTCTTAAATTGTGGATTGGTACTGGCACATTCTAGAAGAGTAAGGAGCTTACACCTTCTAATGTTACTTTATATTTATGCATTGCCAACAGTTTCTTTAGAGAGGTTCTTGATAAGTATTTTTTTAATGGATAGTTCAAGTTATTGTGCAAACTAGTGACTGATATTAATGCTGCTTTATTCTTTATTTTATTTTGTAATGTATTTTAAGGATATTTCAAAGTTTAAATTCTATAGCAAATATTTATACTTTATCAAAGATATGTCAAAATTCAAATTCAGTTATTTGCAAAAATGTTGTATATTCATAGATGCCTTGGCTTGTTTTATGTTGGTATTAAATTATAACAATAAAATATATAAATTATTTTTGTCTTTGAAGGTCCTGATGAAGTTGTAGGGCCAGAAGGAATGGAAAAATTTTGTGAAGACATTGGTGTTGAACCTGAAAATGTATGTTTTATTTTTAAGTAGAATGGAATACAAGTGGGGTATAGCATATTCATAAATTTCTAAAAATTGGGACACTTTAATCTTACATGAAGATTTTGTTTCTTCATGTTTATTATTGTAAATTTTTCTTTAGGATATTTTTAATCAATTTAAATTGGGTCCAAGTTCTCTTTCTTGGTACAAATGTCATTTGTAATAGAGTGAGGATGATTCTACCTTCAGAAACTGTTAGAACTTTTTACTTTTAAGAAATTGGTCCATCTAAATTTCTTTATAGTTTATAAATCCAAAGGTTGTACTGTTTAATATTTGAAAAAAGGAAATAGTTGTATAAAATGCTCTCCATGATAAATATAGACATGATTATCTCTATGCTGACTTTTCCCCTATCCTTTATGTTCTGTTCTTTCCAGATTATTATGTTAGTTTTAGCGTGGAAATTGGAGGCTGAAAGCATGGGATTTTTTACCAAGGAAGAATGGTTAAAGGGGATGACTTCATTACAGTAAGATATTTTTTTAAAAAACAAACTTGATGGGCTATTTGAAGATCTTAATTGATACATTGTGCTTTGTAATTTTCAGGAGTAAGGTTTCACTTTATATAATCAAATTGGTTTGATCTATTACAATCAGTTTAGGATTGACAAAATTTATATTATGATTTGGCAAAATGAACAGACCTCATTTTTTGTATTGTCTAATAAGGAACCTTAGTATAGTCCTGTTAAAATTCATTGACTCTTGGTGGGTGAATTAAGAGATCCATGATGAAAGTTATTTACTCACAGGTTGTTTGAGTAATAAAAGATTTCCTTCTGTGAATATAGAAATCTACTACGTAAGGAGTTTGTTCTTTGGTCAGTTCTAAGCTCTGGGGCCACCTCTCTTTCGTCTTCAATTTTATATTTGATCTAAAGATGAAATTTGAAGATAGAGTTATACAGCACTCTCATTAATTCTTTTTTGCCAAATGAATCTCATAAAGAACATAAGTAGAAATGCTGTATGACTCCCCTGCAACCTGTAGCCATTTTATAGTAGTATTAACATGCTGCCTTTGAATACTTACATAAGGTGTAGAATTGCTTCTTTATAAAAATAATTTGATACTGGCTTTCCAGAGTAAAGTAGGCTTAGTTTCAGAATCGGTTAGTAATTATGTGGTAATTTTATATCATGCTTTTCATATTCGTGCAGGATGTTATCAATATTCTAAAGTAGAGGAATCATTAATTTATAATATCTTTGAGCCAAAAATTGGGCCCTTATTTAGCCATATGTTTTCCTGTTCTGATTATGCTTTATTAACACATTTAACTGTTCTTTACTCCTCGTTTGCCTGTCTTTAAATTTCAAAATACCTGGTTATTTTTTAAGTATTTGTTCATATAGAACTTAAATCTTCCTATTTGAATTTTCAGTGTGTAATGCTTTGTAATTCTCCTGTTTAACCAGCATTAATATACAGATTATATTTCGGTGAAAACCTTGCTCATATGAACCAAATCATAATTTCTAGAATAGAATATAAAATCAACCCTCACACTTCCATTATGTATGGTGAGATAAAGAGTCTGAGACTCAAAGAGTTAAAGAAAATACTTGCTAAAGTTTACATAGCTCCTTTGTGGGAGAGCGAGGACCTAGAATTTGGTAGATTACCAGTCTACCATACTGTACTTTCACTTGGACATTCTTTTGTATATGTTAGCATTCTTTATAAAATAGAAAGCCATTATTAACTTTTAAAATCATAGTGCTTACAGCCAAGACTGAATTCTGTCATTTATCTAGGTGTCATAACATGCCATATTAAAATAATGTTGATTATGAAATTCTTTGGCCTATTTTCTACCTTTAATTGGCTTTTTAGAGAAAGATAAAATACGTATATAAAAGAGTATGCAAGGAATATAAACTAGTTTTACATAGCTCAGTCTTTTTTATTGAAATGTATATCAGTTGAAACATGGCTTATTAATGTAAGACATTTTTAGCACTATAACTGTTTTTTGTACTACGCTTACTGCTTTTTTCATATGCTGTTTTGAATATATTTTTAAACCAAAAAGTTTTTAGTTTATGTTTTTGCATAACTTGGTATATATCGCCTTTGTATAGCAGAAATGTGTAAACACAAAGTATTTTTAATATTTACTCTTGAATAATTAGCAGCATATGGTCTTGGATCCAAGGATAGAAATTGACTAACCCATGAACATATTTTTTATTAACACAACTTTCCTATAGGAAGTTCATAAACTATACAAAATAAAAGCAATTATATAGCACTTAAAATTGAATTAGAGGTTTCTGTTTCATTCATTTATTATTTCCTGTCCATCTGCCTAGAACCCTTTGCTGTATAGCCTTGAAACTATTCAAATTAGACCAGCACACTTGACTGCAAAAATAGTTGGTCTCTCCCATTCACCCTTGAACAGCGTGTGGGGGATTTACTGCATTGACCCTCGTACAGTAAAAAAATCTATGTATAACTTTTGACTCCCCAAAAACTTTACTAATAGCCTACTTTTTCACTGGAAGCCTTATTGATAACATAAACAGTTGATTAATACATATTTTGTCCGTTTTATTATATATGTTATTCTTACAATAAAGTAAGCTAGAGAAAAGAAAATGTTATGAAAATTACAAGGAAAATACATTTACTGTACTTGCCTGTGTTTCTCATACCATACACTTATGTCGTTGGTTTACTAGATGAATTGTCTGTCAGTACCTACATCAATATTGTCTTACATGATACAAAGCACTGTGGATGTTATGCGTATTTAATATAGTTATTGAAAAAAATTGCATACAAATGGACCTGCACAGTTCAAACCCTTATTGTTCAAAGGTCAACTATACAAAGCATCTTTTCTCAGTTGGCTAAGTCCTTTTATTCCCTGAATCTTGTAAAAAAACTGGCTAAGAATAAAATAGTTTAAAATTTAAACCAAGAGAGAGAAAGGAACCTGTATAAGTTTAAAATTTAAATTTATAGTTGTCTGGTATATTTGGTTTTATATTATAATCACAAAATGTAAAACCTCACAGACTTGATTCCCTTTATAGATATTTCATATTTTTACTATTTAACCTGTGCATAGTTATTTGATGGTTCCTAAATTATCTGAATATAGTTATCAGTTGTTTCAAATTAATTAATCTTAACCCTTAGAAAACTTAATGGAGCTCTGCTAAAGAATAGGAACAGTCTTGTAGTTAAAACATATACTGTGGTCAAGGATAGTGCACTATAGTAATCATGATTATTTAAAATCTGTAATTGTATAATGCTTAATAGTTTTCAGAATTTTTTTTTACATTTGTTTTAAAGTTGTTTATTCATGCAGACTTTTCAAATATAAATTGTCTTTCATGTGAATGAACTTTTGGGTATGAATTGACATTTAATTTTACTAGAATGGCCATTTTGTAAGTTTTAGGGGATGTAATTGCCATATTATTTCTGGGTATTTTGCTCTATGTAGTTTTTATCATTGCTTAGTAATATTTAAATTTCTCCAAATTGGACTTAATTTAGTGGATGTTTAAGCACCTGTATTATGTAATGTGTACCACTTACTGGTGATTTCAGTGAGGCATAAGACATGGCTCATGCCCTCTAGTTACATTCTAATAGAGCAAGGAAGGCATTATAATACTATAACCATAAATCTAGGTAGAATGTGACAAATGCTAGATTAAAAATACAAAATACTGTGGAAGCACAGCTGCTCATAGGTTAATTTTAGCTGAATAGACAGGAAAATCTTTATAGATGTGGCACTTGACCTGGACCTTGAAGAATGACTAGGATTTTGATAATTGAGGATGTAGGAAATTTGTTTCTGGAGAGGAAATTGTGATCAGAGCTTTGAGAAAGGAAAGCATATGTTTGAGAGTAGTCTGGTTTGTTACACTCAAATGGTACATGAAGAAAATAGATGGAATTGTTTAAATTCCAGGTAGTTGGGATAATGGCTACATTTTGGAGGGCTTTTGCTAACATGTTGAGAGTTTAAGGCATGTTACAGATATTGGGAAATCATCAGAAATTTTTGAGCACAGGAATCATCAAAGATTTTTGGGGTGGTTTTCAACAGATCAGTTGTTTTAATGTTTTAAGGTCATAGACTCTTGAGAACCTTATGAAAACTGTGGGTCTTTTCCCCATTAAGATGCACTTATGCTGCTACACCCAAAATATTGCATATGGATCTTCCCCTTCCTTGCATCTATGGATTCAGGATTCCAGGGATACTTGCACATTTTTGTTCTGTCACACCTTACTAGAGTGGAGAACTTTTCTCATATCTGCTAGCTTTGGTGTTGAAGCAAAGGTTAAATACCATGATGGTGAAGAAAACTGAGCACAGAACTTTGAAAAGACTGTACTTGATATTATGACACTGAAAAGAAGAGGCAAGAAGATAGTATCTGACAAGAACGGTAGTACTAAGCTGCCTGTCAGTAGGTTTAAGTTGTGTACCATGTGGTCTCCATATTGAGCCTGGAAATTGAAGATTGACGGTAATGATCTAGCTTAACTTTCTTTAGGGGAGAGAGGTATGGGGAGCATTTATACCTTTTTTTGATGACTTTGGAAGAGTAGGGTATATGGGATGCATGTGTGGTGTGTGACTACCATTCCTTGAGTGTTCTGGGCCTGACTACTAATTGCCATTAGTATCCTTTCTTCTCTCCCCCAGGGTTATCATAACAATTTTTAAATGCCCCCCCTCCACATTTCCAAATACCTCCATAAGTGGATTGTATTGTTCTGGTCAATAGACCTGACTCAGAGAAAGTTCTAAATCCAGAACTTTGTGAATAAAATTTTTCCTGTTTCCTGTCTCTCTGTCAGAGCATACTAATTGGGACTTACTGATGATGAAAAAATCTCACTTAGATTTAATACATAAGTGAGAATTTCTTTTAAAGTCTTTAATGACACAAATTTGAAAGCCTCCCTTGTTAATACAGGTTTACCTGGCTATCCAAAAGCAGAGCATTCCTGTAAAACCTTTTGTAAGCTGAAGTGGCATAAAGCAAAGAAAGAAGCAGTTACCATGAAAAAATTTTTGAGAGTTCCCAGGTCCCAAAAATAAGGCTAAGCATTAACACCCCTATGAGCGCTCCCAGATTTTTCTCATACCTTAGGACATATTTTGCTAACGGGTGCACAAAATAAGTCAAGATAAACACAGATGCTCACACATGCAGTTCTTGACTATGGCAACCTAATGTTGAGATGTTAAGTGTAGTTCCTGGGGGAGAAGCTTGGTGGCGCTAGCTTGGTTCGCACTGCCTCTGGAAAGGATCTCTGCAAAACTCACTGGCTGATTCTGAAAAGCAGAAATCCTTTTTAGATTTCTTTTGGTTATTGACAACAGGTAGTACTATATAAGTCTTTCATAAAAACAAAATGGCATCATGGAAACTTTCGAAAAGCGGGGATACATGTACTCAGGAAATCAATTTCCAAGTCCTA